GTGGAGGGGATCCCCATTACCTGTAAAGCGCATTGAGTGGAGTGTCCAGAAAAGCGCTATATAAGTGTAAGCAATTATTATTATTATTATTAATATTATTATTATTACGTATTTGGATTGCCCTGGGGACAATGAAAATGTGAACTTTTAAAACTGAAAAACATCCCTTTTTAACCCAACCCTGTGACCACTGCACCTGCCAGTCTGTGCTGTGCAGCGCTTTCTCTCTGAGCCGCTCCTGCTGTCTAGACACCCCTCCCCACACACCCTGTTTTTCACACCTGCAGGGCCATTGAGAGAGGAAGAGCACTTGACCCCCGACCTCTGGGCGGAGAGTAAAACACAGTGGAGGGAGGTGACGGAGAGCAGCCGTCCACCAATCACACGCAGCACAGCAGCCTCTGAGGGCAGGACTGACTCAGAACTGTCCAACGAGGAAGGAGCAGGAAGTGCACGGGGGGCGGGGCCTGCGGCAGAGGGGGACCTCAGTCCAGAGCCTTGGCGTGAGGAAGCAGCTGGACTGGACCCTGCAGAACTAGAACCCGCGGAACCGAGGCTGGTTCTGGAGAGCGGCGCAGCGGTGGAGGGTGAGAGAACACACTGACAGGAGCTTGCTGCCCTGACTGAGAGAGGACTGGAGATACACAGACCAGCCCATACCTAGAGCAGGAGCCCTCAGCGTCCTCTCACTCGCCTGTCTCTTCCTGCAGACCTGTAGTGGGGATCTGTGGATCCCAGTGGGTTCACAATAGGCTCTAGACTAGACTCCTGCTGTGCACCTTGCAGCCTTAAAAGTACACTATGGGAATCGTGTACATTTGGCTTTCTGTATGCAACAGTCAGTCAGGCAGGATGGTTAAGATAAGATCGCTTTCTTGGCCATATACAGATTCTTGCATTAGGAATTTGTCTTTTCACAGACCCCAACTTGCTCTCCATGAGGCACACAGACAGGGAGAGAAGCTTGGGGTCAGAGCGCAGGGTCAGCCATTTACACAGCACCCTTGGAGCAGTTGGGGTGAAGGGCCTTTCTCAGGGGCCTAACAGAGTAGGATTCCTCTGCCGGCCGCGGAATTCGAACCTGCAACCTTCCAGCCACAGGCACATAACCTTAGCCACAGAGCCACCGCTCCGCCCGTAGTGGGTAGGCTAGTGTTCAGGCTGTGGAAAATATGATATGAAAATACTAAAATATGATTAGTTGACTTGCTAGCTGACTAGTAGCAAGTCACCGAATCATATTTTCCATATACGATGGACCTGATTCCAGCATGATTAGTTAGTACAATCAGCACTAGGAATGGGAAGGACATGAATGTGCTGCTCTGGATGGGGGAGGCAGGGGTGACTTTACCTGGCTGTGCTGTGCAGGACCAGAGAGCTGGGGCCCCGTGAGGGGGGTGAGCGCCTTCGACCGCAGTGCGCTGGACCGGGTCCAGTTCATCCAGCTGCTGGAGACGTTCCTGGGGGAGACGGCCAGCGACAGCATGGTGCACAGCCTGGTGGGGTACCTGCGGGGGGGCTACCGCGAGACGGAGCAGGAGAGGCTGGACAGGCTGAAGCAGGTATGGAGAGGGAAGCCTCCTCTGGGGTAATTCAAATAAGGACACTATAATTAGTCCACACAGTGAGCGCCGCCTTACAGTGCTTTAGAAACTCTGGGGAACAGCAGCACTCTATCTATGGAGTCAACATGTAAAATGGACAACCACGCGCTGTCTTCGGACGAGCTTCTCCGTCCGGACTGGCCAGACTGGGAAGCGTCCGCAGGCTGGGTTCCCAGGGTGCCGCTGTGTGTCCACAGGCGCGGCGGGAGGCGGTGCTGGCACAGCGGGCGCGGGCGATTGACGAGCTCTTTGAGAGGTGGGATAACGAGGGGCGGGGCTTCCTGGAGCGGAGCGAGGTGGAGGGGGTGCTGAGCCAATACAAGGAGGGAGCTGAGAGGGCGGCCATGGAGAGAGGTGAGGTCT